TTAATTAACGGAATTATTTCATTATTTTTTATATAAACAATATTTTAAATGACATGGAAATTACATGTACAATTATAAATGACATGGACAAAATTATAAATACATGTAAACACTTTATTTGAATATTTTGTGTCACTTATACAAATTAAAAATTTTACTTTATTAATTTATGAATTAAACATAATTAGTTTTAATTTTTTCATCTTCTTCTTTCTCTTCTTCTTTCTCCTCATCCTTACCCTCCTCTTTTTCTTCAGAATCATCTTCATCATCTTGGGTTCCTCGTGGAACCCAGTGTGGGGTTCACAAGGAACCCAGATCTGGGTTCCTCATGAAACCCAGCACTGGGTTAGCGAGGAACCCAGAGCTGGGTTTCGAGAGGAACCTAGACCTGGGTTCCTCTCGAAACCCAGCATTGGGTTTGCAGGAGAACCCAGCACTGGGTTCCACGAGGGAACCCAAATCTGGGTTTCGCGCGAGCCCAGTGTTGGGTTCACAAGGAACCCAGATCTGGGTTCCTCATGAAACCCAGCACTGGGTTAGCGAGGAACCCAGAGCTGGGTTAGCGAGGAACCCAGAGCTGGGTTTCGCACAAACCCAGGTCTGGGTTCCTCGTGGAATCCATCTGGGTTCCTCTCAAAACCCAGCATTGGGTCCGCGGGAGAACCCAGATCTGGGTTTCGCGCAAGCCTAGTGCTGGGTTCTGATTGTTTTTTTCTTTTTTATTTTAAGTGTATCTATCCAGAATGAAAATAAATTTTCATATTCAGTTTTGAATTAGAGATGTTAAGTTCAGGTTCATTGCAAAACCGAAATCATGTTTGCTGTTTGAGTTTGAAACTGCAAGTGATAAGTTCATGTTGTGTTTATGTTGCTATTAACTTCATAATTTGTTTCATTTATGCCCTAGATTTAACTAGAAGAAAGGGTTGAAAATTTGAAATTATCAATTATATTGATCAATCTCACATATAAAGAGTTGATTATGAATGAAAAACAAGAATTTAAAAAAAAGGAAGATGATATTCAGAAAGGGAATTGAAAAAAAATGGAAAACTTTAGAATATGGGTCTCATTTTAGGGATTTTTTTCACTCGTAAGCATTTTTACACTGTGGAATAGCCATGTCACACTCTAAAATTGCCATATCACACTCTAAAATAGCCATGTCAGATGTTTTCATTAATTAACGTGACAAATCAGCAAAATTTTAACGGAGGGACTAAAAAGGGGCCGGATTTTAAAATTTAAGGACCAAAAAAGAGATTTTTTCAGTATAAGAACTAAAAAGAAGTTTTTTCTTATAGTAGAGGGATCAAAAAAGATATTTAACCTAGATTTTATATCCAAATACTACTTATTCTATTTAAAAAAATTTCAAAAGTTTTTTCTTAAAGAATAATTGAGGGACCATATACCGAAAAAAAAAAAAAGTAATCGAGAAAGACTTAGAAACTGAAAATAGCACAAGTCTTGTCTTTAGCTTAGTTTGAAAATGTTGTGGTACATTTTTTTTGTAATTTTAATTATTAAAAATATTGTGTTATATTATCATAAAAGG